CAGAGACAGAACAACCAAAGCTAATCACCCCGGCATCGTGATCAAAGACCACAAGAACAGAATGTGCTTTCTTAATGACATGGCAGTTCCTGCAGATTGTAATGTATCTTTGAAGATCTTCAAAAAACTATCAAATTGCAAGGATCTTGAAGTGGAAACCTAAAAACTGTGGCACACGAGGACATCAACAATTCCAGTTGTAGTCGGAGCCCTCAAAGCGATTGGAAAAGATTTTGTTAGATTCATTGAAGGGATTCCTGGTATTCTATGCCCAAAAGAAATACAAAAAAAAAATGTTCTCATAAGTACAGTTCACATAATACGAAGACCTTTACCTATGTAAAATGTGGATGATGTTAGGTTGTTTTGGGGGTATTTTTTTACAAAAATGATCAGTGGGAAATATCATGAAACCATTTCTGACCTTCGGAAGGAAATTTTTATACAACAAAAAACAAAGGAAATAATAATAATAATAAAGAAGAAGAAGAAGAAGAAAAAGAAGAAGGAGGAGGAGGAGAAGAAGAAGAAGAAGAAGAAGAAGAAGAAGTTTATGATTGATTGCAGGTTTCTCTTATTCCACTAATGACTGAAGCCGAGTACCTGACTTCCTGGACAGGGAAGCTCTTTGGTAATCTACACATTCGTATAGTTGTAAAATCTTTGATATACAAATGCTATAAATCACTTTATAAAATGCTAACCGAATTACCCGCGCCTTGTTGCGTGTCACACATTTTTGTAAGAAAATGATGAATGATTTTAAATCATTGTTATAATTTATGGAGTAAAAAATGATGCATTTCAATATTATTCAATGATCTTGTCAATGTGACCTCCATCTTCTGGCTTTCTCCTTCTATATTTTGGATAGAAGTCTTTCCCTTATTCAAATAGAATTTAAATTAAGGGAAAAAAAATTCAGTGTGTGTGTGTGTCCCCGGACTCCCTTTCATCAAAATGATCTTGCCGATGTGAACACAAACTTCTGGCTTTCTCCAATATTTTGAATAGGAGTCATTCTCTTGTTCAAATTTAAATTTAATTTAAATCAAAGGTAAACATTTTTCTGTGAGGGGTTTTTGTTCCCCGGAGACTCCCTCTGATCAAAATGAAATATACTTATCCAAGTACCCTATGTTTAAGTTTAAATTTAATTTAATTTAAAAGGGGAAAATTTTTCAGTGGTGGAGGGGGGCTTGTGCGCCCCCCTACACACACTGGGACTCCCTTTTAGCAAAATTAAATATACTTATGCAAGTACTCTGTGTTATGTAGTTTCAGAATATATATAGTTATGGGGGGGGTCTATATAGGAAGAGTTTCTATAACAGGTATACAGAGACGACAACTTTACATTATATATATATATATATATATATATATATAGAGAGAGAGAGAGAGAGAGAGAGAGATCATATTTTCAAAGTCACACTTCCTCTAGTACAGAGCTACGGTAGTGAGTCACCCAAACAAAACGGAATTCAGCTATACACTAGCAATTCACAACATGAACGGACTTGCCCAATAAGCATTGAACAACGGGTGATGGTTCTCTCTAACTCTGTCCTACTCACATCTCTTTTTACATAGATATGAACAGACTAATATATATATATATATATATATATATATATATAGAAACAGAGTTTACATTGATAGATTCAATGTGTGCTTTAATATCTGGTTTGTTAGTAGATTTTTATAATACAATAATGTGTATTTCTTTTGTGTTAATATATCCCGGCTGAGAAAAATGGAAGACTGAAACCACTATAATGAAAATTTGGCACATAGAAAACTATTGTAATTCTACTAGAAAAAAAAAGAAAAAAACATACAAAGTCAAAAAAAAAAAAAAAAAAAGAAGAATTTGGCACCAAAGTGGACCATTCTGATCGAATAACTCTTAAGGATTTTCGCGTTTCCATTGTTAGCAGAACGATTTTCGCTAACATAAAATGCTTATTATGTCGCATGGCACACATTCGTAATATGTAAAATTTATTGCTCTTCGCTATCCTGCATGTAAGAGACAAATACGGACAAGCAGACCAACAGCCGTTTGTCCCATGAGACATACATAACTAATATATATATATATATATATATATATATATATATATATATATATATATAATTTATATTGCAATATCGTCAGTTTGTCGCCTGAGTGTCTGGCTGGATGTTCAAGGCGACAAATTCAATTCTGAAATTTCGGTGGTAAGCAGTTGTGAGTAGTAGGATGGAAATATATTTGGGTAGGATTTTTTTTTTTAATTTACGGATCTCTGCAAGTGAATAAGAATTTTCAGTGTGTGTCATAATACAACGCGCACACGCGCATAGAGACGTACACACAATTAAAAATACATATTACTATCCTATGTTCACTTCGACATACAAGAATCGTCACAAACCAATATACACAAAGAATTATCCAGTTTTAGTACACATGACACTTGTGTGACCAATGAGAACTGACCCAAATATAATTGGAAATACCAGTGTTTTCTGTCTTTTTGTCTGTTTTCTCTCTCTGACAAAGCTTTAATAAAAGTGAAACATGTTAGATTGATATACATTTCCTATTTGTTCTTTTATTTTATCAGAATATAAACGTATGCATGCGGATATATATTGCACACACACGCTTATATATATATATGTGTGTGTGTGTGTAAGCCGAAAGCTTAGATTGGATTTAAACATGTATCAATATGGTGATCTCCTTTTGTTTTTCAACGATAATGTGATTAAGCTTATCAGACAATATGAAAGGAACTTACTTAAAATAAATAGACAAAACTTGTCTATATTATTTAATGAAACATGCATTAATGAAAAATTGCATGATCCAGCAGCTCTCCGATATATATATATATATAAGTTATGCTATAAGTATCAGTATGCTTTGTGTTTGTCAGTATTCATTGATTATATATATAATCAATGAATATATATATATATAATTGATTATATATATATATATATATATATATATAGTGATTTTCTAAGCGTAGCTTAAATGTGGCACAAGGCCGAAATTGGGCGAACCCAGTGAGAATCGAACTCACTAATCATTTGTAATTGTTCTAGCGAGCCAAGCTTGCTAACCATTACACCACCTCGAGGTGCATATATATATATATATATACATGTATGTATGTATATATAAGTGTTTGCCAGCAGGGCCAAGTGCATACTACCCCGACAACTCCTTTCCCTACTGTCTGGGCTGGTAAAGCCTTATTTTGCTTTGTGACCCTTATCAACATTTGCTTTTTTTAAAAACATACATTTATATATGTTGCAAATTAAACTAAGCGCTGCTTAAAGTCCGTGAATTTTTGCTCGTCCAAAAAAATACTATATAAAATTCATAATTTGTTTCTCCATAATGTCGAATGTGTCAAAATTATTCAACTTTTTAACATGAATAATCTCAAATTTTCTCGCAAAATATTGTTGATTTACTTTTATAAAATATGTAATGATCTATTATGTCAGGTTTGTATTTTGAGATGTATTTGTTTTGTATTTTGTATTTTGAGATGTATTTGTTTTCAATTATTCAAGTTGAATTGTTCACCTATATTGTATGTGATCCATTATTGTACATAATTAGGTTACAATAAAATTTGTATTTTTTATATGAATAGTATTTTATGAAGATGTAGTAGAGTAGGGGGTGCCGTATCACAGATTCGGTGGGGGCCCACGAGACACTTGCACCGGCCCTATTTAGCAGTTCTGCATTTTGTCAGTATTCATTGATTTCATATATATATATATATATATATGTATATATATGTGTGTGTGTGTATGTCTCGATGTATGTGTATATATATATATATATATATATATATATATATATATATATATATATATATATATATATATATATATAGGGTTTTTAACAAAGGCTGGTGCATGTTACCCCGACACTTACTGCGTTTTAGTGGTACTATCGCCTTACATAGAGGTGAAACGATTATTTTTAATATATGTATATATATATGTGTGTGTGTGATTGCCTGAAGATTGCCTTCAAGCATGAAACAGACTGTCCACACTCAGTGTCGATTTATATATATATATATATGTGTGTGTGTGTGTGTGTGTGTGTGTGTGTGTGTGTGTGTGTGTATTTTTTCCATGTCATGGACGAGTTTGTACTCTATATGTCGAAAATATTTTTAATAGATTATTGTTGATTAATTTTATTTTTTTATGAGTCCATCGCGATATATGCCAATGTACTCATCAGTGCCTTCTTGGCATTTATAAATCCTTTCGTTATTTGGGAGATATTCCGTATATATGTTAACGATTATCGTAATATTTACGGAGCTAAAAAATGTCCACTGTTAACGACTAAAATCTGTGAAGAGAAAATTAATTATTGAACTGTTTATGCTATTTTTAGCAGGAAGCATAAAGCTCAGTTTTTCCAATACGTCATTCGTTGTGTAGTCACAATTTAAGGCTCTAAAAATATCGACTAAAAGACAACAAGAGATCTCCCAGAAATATGAATACGCACACACTCATATATATATATATATATATATATAATAAGTGGTCCTTTAGCAACTGCGTAGCATCTGATCACACTCTGAAGTCGCACCTGTGCGACCGTATGATTCCCCTGAAGACCAAGTGATACAAAAAATGCAATATTTTTTCTTTTCTTCTATGCTAAATCGTTTGACTATTTCGGCTCCCCTGAGTAAGTTTCGTAATTTCCTGCTGTTTCTGAGCAGCAAGTAAAAGGACTGAACATGAATTGCATACGTCGACAATATCCAATTTGAAAAGTCATGTTAAGAATTCTTTCTATGTTAAGGAAACAAAAAAAAATACATGCAGAATGTGTGAAGGGAGAGCTTATTTGATGTTCTAGTTTGGTCTATTAGATTATTTTGAATATTACACATATATATAGGTAGATAGATATGAACAGACTGAGATTGATAGGAGAAACATAGATAAATAGATCAATAGATAGATATGATCAGAGTTGGATAGATAGATAGATAGATAGATAGATAGATAGATAGATATTGGACATATATATATATATATATATATATATATATATATATATATATATATATAGAGAGAGAGAGAGGGGAGATAGATAGATAGATAGATAGATAGATAGATAGATAGATAGATAGATAGATAGATAGATATGAACATAGATAGATATAGATAGATAGATAGATAGATAGATAGATAGATAGATAGATAGATAGATAGATATGAACAGACTGAGACAGACAGTCCGATAGGAAAATGTATAGAGACAAAGAGAGAGCGAGCGAGAGATATGAACAGACTGGGATAGGTAAAACATAGATATGAACAGATTGGGAGAGATAGGAAAGTATAGAGAGACTTAGATAGAATAGAGAAAAATAGATAAGAAAATGAGTGAGGGCTATCTATCTATCTATCTATCTATCTTATACTCTGCAATGCTTTTAAATAGTTGGTGGGTGTAACAGAAAATAGGAAGATTGTTATACGCCTAACGTCCAAACTAATAAGAGTATCCCTACCTTGAAACATCAACATTCGAATTACGAGTTATATCCAAGAATCCACCCCATAGACGCAGTTATCCTCTCATTAGCCCGCACCCGTTTTGAATATATTTAAATCGTGATATATTTAAGACATTTACGTAGCTTGAAGTAAACTTATTGCAAATTCTTTAAATAAACTAAAATGGCTATCTTTTGTTTTGCAATAAAAAAATATTCCACATACGACCCACGTGTTTCATTAAATATAACGGTGCCAAACCGTTAACTGCTGTCAAACTTTCCGCCTCGGAGGAGAGGAACCCGGACGAAGCTTTGCCGAAGTCAAAGCTTCGTCCGGGGACGTAGACAGGCCCTAAACCCGTTTATACGGGTTCAAAGGCAATATTTTTGGCCGAGCCTACGGGCTCGGAGAACCGACGATAAACTTTGCCTTGTGACACATACGACCCATGTGGAGGGGCCGTTAAATATAACGGTGATATAGACTGTTCTACTGAGGCTGTTCGCAGCTCCTGTCGAACTCTCTGCTTTTAGCGGAGAGGAACCCGGACGAGGCTGCGCCGAAGGGCAGAGTTTCGTCCGGGGACGTAGACAGACCCGAACCCGTTTATGCGGGTTCTACGGGGATTTTTTTGACCGGGCCTACGGGTTCGGATGACTCACGTTAAACTCGGATTTGTGCCACATGTGCCTTCGTGGGGATGGGTCACTCAATATAACGGTGATATAGACTGAACGCTGGTCAACCGACACACATTCCCAAGTCGCATAACACACTTCTGTTGTATTTACTGTTCAATACACTATTTATCTGCAACCTCTTTTTTTGTTATTGCTTAAACAATTACCTGGTCACTACAAAGGTGTTGCTCAGACGACCCCCGGCATGACCCATTTTCAACCAAAATTGACCAAATAGACGATCATTAGATGATTTTGGAAATGTTTCTGCTGAGAACTCTTCGTCATCGAGAAATGTCAAACAAATTTGTCTTGTACATAATGATTTCTCTTGTAAGTTCGATCCACACGGGGTGTTTCCCGTCGGAGACTTTGTGTTAGCTTAAATGCAAAAGTTTTCACACACACACTTATACATACATACATACATACATACATGTATGTATGTGTATATATATATATATATAAACATACATACATACATATATATATATTTATATTTATATATATATATATATATATATATATATATATATATATATATATATATATATATATATGCATATTTTAATCCCCACCTTCACCTTTGGACCTTCCTGTTCTTCTCTCGTCTGTTACCCCTCCCTATAGCTTTCATTTACTCTCGCATTCGTCCCACACTCTCATACATACACTCTCACTAAATTTTATTTTTTATTCCCGGAATTATTTTTTCTGATTTCTTTTTGAATTTCTAGGTCTGATGAATTGGATCGTATTTACGATTTCAAATGTAATTAATTGTGACCATGTAGTACTAGTGTTTAAGCCTTTTATTATTATTATTATTATAATTATTATATATATATATATATATATATATATACAAAAAGAGATTTGTACCCAGAGAACTGATATATAGCTTTAAACAAAACGGACGTCATACCTTAGGTACTTTTCGGCCAACACTTTTTCAAAGGTATTCTTTGGCAATATTAAATATAAATGAATACAAAGACACACTTAATAAAGTAAATGAGGAGAGAAATGTGGAACTCAACTAAAAGAAAATTTTAATTATACAAAATTAAAATTTAAAATTTAACGAGGGGGTGGGTGTAAATAAATAGTTTCACAAGAGTATAAAATGGAAAAAAGGGAACTCATTAGGGATTTGTATGTATAATTTTCATGTTTAAACCTAGCATTCTCAATACACACACATGCAGAAGAGCACTGGACGGCTGTTTCGTCCTTTTGAGGGGTGTCATTAGCAGTGAGCGTCCTCTACCGACTCTGGGAATCGAACCCGGACCGTTACGTACGACACAAGCATCATGCCTTTGGGCCAGCGGTATGATGATTGAAGCAGATACGTATGAGGATAGTGATTTTCTAAGCCCGGCTTAGATGTGACACAAGGCCGAAAGTATGGTGCACCCAGTGAGAATCGAACCCACTATTCAGTTGTAACTGTTTCAGCGACACAAGTTTGCTAACCATTACACTGCCTCGAGGTGCCCACAGATACATATGAGGATATGCAATTGCGTTATTACATATATATGCATAAACCATCTCATGCTCTATCATATATATGCATATATAATTTTACTTAAACATGCATATACGTATTGAACGTTCACATACGCACATCCATAATCACACTTTCGCACACAATTATATACGACATTCTGAAAGCTTTTGCGAACTGAATGTAATACGGATTTTCTATTCTTTTTATCGAGCAGTACCCACGAGGACGGTCGAGTAATGGAATTGGAGTGCCGAGTTCGAATTCCAGTCGAATCCATTACATTCACTTACGTGCTAATATCCTTAGGAAAGGAATGACCCCTCTTCTTCTCCCCACATCAGCTATGGTTAAATAGCAGTACAGACCTTGGATGGCAACTGTTCTACCGCAGAAAGAAATGGCAACCTGCTGCGGGAAAAAATCTGCCTCGTCAGTCATGTATCGAAGGATACGTGATTGCTTAATCACATGGCACATAACTGACTGACTGACTGAACCAAGAGCACACTCCTTTGAAAGAAGCAATGGAAATAAAGTATTGGTCAAATTGTTTGATTAATTTCGATTAAAAAAAAATCATGCTGCTATAATTAAAAGAGAAAGCAATTTGCTAAAGCGAAAGCCTATAGAAAGTACACTGATTGCTAAATCAACTGCGGTAAATTTGCGCCCAGATTCTTACAATATATATATATATATATATATATATATATATTCTGTCCATTGTTTTTAAGGTGCTGTAAAATAGCAGAGACATTAAGAATATATTGTTATCAGACGCTATCGAAGTTATTGGAGGAATTATATGATGAACAATAAATAAGTCAACTAACAGGAAATTAAAGCATCTTGTTGCAAATCGAATTAATTTTATATTTGTCCATAAATAGGAGGAACATTCTACACTGTCATAAAATAGAATTTGCCCATATCATCGGCCATGTTCTGTCTTGGCGGATAAGCAAAACGTGGGAACTGACTCCCCAAAGTTGTTTCCCGGATAACGCCCAACAGTCAGGTGCTCAATACAACCATTTGACACTTTGATATTATTTGTATTTTGCAACCCTCCTTATTCAATAAACTGTCACCTCATAAGTCGCGACCTTTCTTTTTTGTTGGAAATTAAGTGCACGAACAGTTATCTGGTTCAGATGTGTAACTTAAACCACACGTTGGGATGACGCACATTGCACTTTTATTTCAACACGTTTACGGAGGTATATCGATAAGTCTGCAGCCGAAAAAAATGAAATAAATCTTTTATTTCCCACAAATAATATTTGTTTTTCAACATAATCTCCTTTTTTGTGAGCGCACTTGATCCAGTGATGAATAATAGTGAGACAGATCGGACATTATAGACCGAAAATTTCAGATCAAAATTCAGCTTATACCTGTCATACTGCGGAGGTATTGATCTGAACTTCTATGTATGTGTGTGTGTGTGTGTGTGTGTGTGTGTGTGTGTGTGTGTTAACGCGGATTTTTTTTTTACTAATATGCTGGAAAAATAGCCTGTTTTTTGACCGCATTACAAGACCATGCGAAAGTCAAAAATCTCCATAAACAGATAAAAATAAAAACTCCCGCTGCTATCTTTCAATATCTCTTCTATAAAACAAACTATTAAATAAAACAAAACAAAAAGTATTATTCTGCCCTGTCTGCCCGCAAACCAGTTAACTACTTGGACTCCTAGTTAACAGACGTTCACCATTACAACTGCAACTACTATCAATGACTGGCTACTTTACAAATACAGATGCGCAGCTACAATATTTACCACAGCAAAAAGAGACAATAATGTAGTGACTACAATCGCGCAGTAGCCCCGTCACCGTCGTTCTGTTGGCAGACTCGTTAACCGATAGCGAGTCTTCCACGTGGCATCCGTAACGACTGAATGTGAAAAGGCTCTCATAAACTGCCATCGGAATGACGGCACGTTCAACAAAAGAAAAAAGCATGACGGGCAGTCTCTTCGCCTTCTTTCAATCTGTCATTTGCCTTCAATACATGAGTGGCTCTTGACACACGTCCAAAACACATCCTTCCCGCTCGTCCTGCACCCAATAATAGATTCTAATCGAAAGATTGGTAAATAAATTGCTTTGCTTTTAGATATCGGAACTATTTTGGATTGCGTAAGGCAAACCACATCCACCTACACTTGCGTATGTCTTCGTCTAACTCATTCCAGTTTTCATTTCCTTTTTTCTTTTCTTTTTCTCTTCTCTTTTCTTTTCTTTTTTTTTTCTTTTCTCCAGTAACTTCCTGACGTTTATTCGTTTCGGTCTATTTTGGATTTGATATTCTCGATGACTGTCTTCAGTTTCTTTTCTTTCACCTCTCTCTCTCTCTCTCTCTCTCTCTCCCTCTCCATCTCTATCTCTATCTCTATCATACAGTGACAGCTTCCCTCTACCATTTACTTAGTCTCTTTCTTAAAATATGATTATTTTACTCTCTCTCTCTCTCTCTTTCTCACACTGATTTTTTTCCTCTCTTTTCCTTTTCTCTTTCTCAAAATATGATTTCTTTCCCTCTCTGTCTGTCTGTCTGTCTGTCTTTCTCTCCCTCTCCCCTCAATCTCTTTCTTATACTGGGATTTCATTCGCTCTTTTTTCTTTTTGTTTTAGTGTGATTCTTTCCTCTTTCTCTCTCTCTCTCTCTCTCTCTCTCTCTCTCTCTCTCGTCTTTTTATTGAATTTATTTTCTACCTCTCTCTTTTTACTTCTCTTTCTCATATTGTGGTTTCGTATCTCTCTCTACTTCAATTTTTGATACTATGCCTTCTTCTCTCGCTCTTTTTCCTTCTCTCTCTCTCATACTGTCATTTTTTTTTTTCACTCTTTCTTTGACTGTTTCCTTCTCTTCCTCAAACTGGGATTTTTTTCTCTATCTCCTTTTTTCTCTCCCATTCTCGTATTATGATTTCTTTCTCTTCTCTCTCTCTTATACTATGATTTATTCTCTCTCTCTCTTTTTTTTTTTCACTTTCTCATATTGTGATTTCTTTCCTATCTTTTCCCTTCTTTCTCAGACACAGATTTCTATCTCTCCCTTCCTCTATCTTTGACTTCTACCGCTCTTCTCTCCTTGCGCATTTCTCTTCCGTCTAGCGTTCTCTTTACATGTCGCTCTCTTCATCTTCTTTCTCTTTCCTACGCCGTTATTTCCCTTTTACTTCATTTTTCTTTTCTTTTCTTATCCCTGCCTATTCTCCCCCTTTTACATAACACTACATCTCTCTCTCTATATATATATATGTATCTCCCTTTTCCACTTTCCGTCACAACCTTTCTCTCTTTCTTGTTCTCTCTTTGATCCCCTCTCACCCTTTTGCTCCGATCATACCCACATCTTTCAGTCTATTCTAGTCCTTCTTGCTTTTTTCTTTTTAACTTTCTTTTTCGTCTTCTTCTTCTTCTTCATAATCTGCCTTCCTCCTTCACCTTTGCCGTTTCTTTTTCACTAAACCAGTTTTTTTTTCTTTTATCACGTCACTTTACCGCTTTCAAAAAACATTACTTCTCTGACAAAATGTCTTTCTTTACGTCTTTTTTTTATATATATATATATATATATATATATATATATATATATATATATATATATATATATATATCAATCTATTCATATCTATCCATATATATATATATATATATATATATATTCTGTTTATACGTATTTTGTTTATTTTTTATTTATTTTTTTTTTAAAAGTAAACAGAAAATATATTAAATAATATATGTTAAATATATTAAAATATATATAAATAAACAGAAAATATATTAAATAATATCCATTTCATTATATATATATATATATATATATATATATATATATATATGTGTGTGTGTGTGTGTGTGTGCGCGTGTGTGTGTGTGTGTAATTTTCTTTACATCTGTTTTCGTTTCTTCTTATCTACCCGTCTCAAACTCTATCTATCTATCTATCTATCTATCTATCTATCTATCTATCTATCTATCTATCTATCTATCTATACTTGTGCATAGTCACACAACCAGTTTCAAGATCGATGACTGTCTTGAGTGCAGGAGATGTCTGTTTCATTTCTCTACATTTTCTTCCCACTATCTATCTATCTTCTTTTTTGTCTCTTTACTCTCACACTTAAAAATAGTTGTTTCTCACAGGCAAACAAAAATAATAGTGAAAAATAGACCTTGGTCACCATCATCAGCGCTTGAGTGAAAAGCAAACGGCTGTAGTATTGGGTGAACGACGACACAGGTGGAGACTGCCTCGGCCGAGAAACTGCAGCCGGCAGTGAAGTCCAGATTTGCCATCTTTGTCAACATTGTTCCCACCTTCATTTTTTTTTCTCGCGGCAACTGCCAATGTGCTTAATGTTGTTGGTACCCATTGTAGTTCTATGGGCGCGGCTTATTTTTCTTCTCTCACTTGCTTTTGTTTTCCTTCCCTCTTTTTGATTAATTACTTTTTCACTCTTTCTTTCTTTTATACTTTCTTTTAAAACTCCTTATTTTTATTTTTCTTCTTTCTTGCTTCATTCTTCTAGGTTCATCTTTTCTTTGTATTATTTTCCTTTCTTTTTCGTTTCTTTGGATCTCTCTTTTCTTTCTTTTATTCCTTCCTCTTGATACCGGGTTTAATTTTTCTTCTTTTTTGTTATCCTTTTTTTTTCTTTTTTTCATGATTTCTCTAAGATAGATCTTCCTTCTTTATTTCTTTTTACATTTTGTATCTCTTTATTGTACACTACACTCTTCCTCCTATTCGTTCTTTTTGCTTCCTTTCTTTTTTACTTTCTCGGCGCATACACTCGCTATCGTTTCTTTCTTTCTTTCTTTCTTTCTTTCTTTCTTTCTTTCTTTGCTACTATATCATCCTTTGTTTCTGGCTTGTTTGCGTCTCGTCAATTTTCTTCTGTCTTTCTTTTTCAATGTATCCTTCTTCCAGCTCTTTATTCTTGAGATTTTTCAGTTTCGCGCGTTATATATATATATATATATATATATATATATATATATATCCATACATATATATATATATATATATATATATATATATATATATTGAGAGAGAGAGTACTATTGCATTACACACACCCCATATATATATATATATATATATATATATATATATATGGTCTGGTGCCCCTGCTATTCATCTTGAGGTTCTTGACAAAATCCAAAGAAGGATCTAAAATGTAATCGATCCTGAGTTGGTCTCTCGACTTCAGTCACTTTCGCACAGATGTGATGTGGCTTCCCTCTGTCTTTTCTAAAAATATTTTTATGCCAAATGCTCTAACGAGATTTTTTTTCCCTGGTGCCCCGTCTAGATGTATTTAAGCATGCTACTAGATTAGCATCTATGTCACACCCTTTTACTGTTGAAATAGTTAAATGAAACCGTCACTTCTACTTCATCAGTTTATTTTCTCGCACTTCCCGACAGTGGAATTCCCTTCCGTTTATGTGTTTCCCTGGAAACTACAATCTTCAAAAATTGCAACGTCAGTCGCCATCTTAGACCCCCTTTCATCTTTTATCCTTTCCTCAATCCCACCTACACCCAGTCATTTCTTTCACTTTCACTCTCTGTAATCCCCTGCGTATTAGTGGCATTCTCGCCTTGCTTGGAAAAAAATGATTAAATTACATCCACTTAAGTGCTAATACCCTTGGGAAAGGTATGAATCTTCGTTTTCTTCTCCCAACTATGGGTAAATAGCAGGACAGATTGGGTTCTATAGCCTTGAATGGCAACTGGTCTACCGCAGAAAGAAATGGCAACCTACTGCGGGAAAAAAATCTGCCTCGTCAGTCATGTATCGAAAGATACATAATCGCCTAAGCGTGTATCACGCATGACATATACCTGACTGATATATATATATATATATATATATATATATATATATATAATGATGATGATGATGATGATATTAATAGAATATCAACCGCAAATCTGGGATGATTTAAACTTTCTCCGTTCAGTAAATCTTCCGCTAGATTAACTCTTTATCTTTCAAAATTGAACACTCCTATGTGTCAACTCGCTGTTCGCCTAGCTAACCCTTAGCGTACATCGGAGCTAGGATAAAAACCTGGCCAGTCTCTGCGGCCACCGACATTCTGGTTGCAATATCCGCCAACCCACATCTCTCATTCATTTTTTTATTAATCATTTCACCCTATTCAAGGCGATAAAGCAACTAAGACGCAAGGTGTTACCGGAAGTCAATGAAACTGCGAAAACATGACTGAGGTTAAAGGACTATTAAAAAAAAAAGTATTTAAAAAAATTCAAAATGATGATTGTCTTTGCATTTAAATTTTCGAAGATCGTAGTTGACAAGAAGATAAGACCGGAAGACAGCTCCACGGACAAGAATTGCGAGAGAAGAATCTATTAGAATAGAATTTACGGTTCGGTTTAGAATTTCAATACTAAATTAATGCGATCTAACTGCCAATCTTTAATCAACGCTTAAATTAATGAAGTAAGAGCAATAAAGGAGGTGTTGCTGCAGAGTTGGAATCGCTGGATCAAGGCATCCCTCATTACTGAACTGTGATCAGTCTGTGGGTAGAGATACATTAAGAACAGATACTGCATTCTCCTCCCAGCCTCCAGGCCGAGGAACGCGCGCTCTTGCCTTTTCCCACTGGGATACATTGGGTCCTAAAGGATGATAGATCGCCGAGGTGACCCTGATTGAGAACAATCTAATCGATCCATCTACGTGTGGGCTCAATGTCTATCTTATATATATATATATATATATATATATATATATATATATATATATATATATATATATATAATGTGTGTGTGTGTGCGCGCGCGCGCGTGTATGGTGTCGCTCGTATGTACACACATATTTTGCCGCTGCTCAGTTATTCCTATTCCGAAAAAAAAAAGAAAAAAAAGATAATATCTTGGAATCAGGTTGCTGATGAAATTCCATCCGCTTTTTTTGCTCCCATACTAAATAAGCGAACTCCATCCCGGCCACACAAAACGCTTGTCTCCGTACACAGGCACTCCCAATCGTTAACCTTCTCAGAACTGACGGGGGAAAAAAAAAGAAGAAAACTCTAACAGCCATAGGAAATTAGACAGAGATAAGTTATAAAATAATTAAATAAATCTCGAGCCTGCCTGCCTGCCTGCCTTCCTTCCTTCCTTCCTTCCTTCCTTCGGTTCATTAATTAATGTTTTCTTCCTTCCTTTTACTTGCAGTCTCTGGTTCGTTCTTTCTTTCTTTCTTTTTCTTTTTCTTTCTTTCTCTCTTTCTTTCCTTTTTCTTTCTCTTTCTTTTTCTTTCTCTTTCTTTTTCTTTCTTTATTTCTTTCTTTCTTTTTCTTTCTTTTTCTTTCTTTATTTCTTTCTTTCTCTTTCTTTTTCTTTCTTTTTCTTTCTTTCTTTCTTTTTTCTTTCTCTTTCTTTTTCTTTCTTTCTTTCTTTCTTTTTTCTTTCTTTTTCTTTCTTTCTTTCTTTCTTTCTTTCTTTCTTTCGTTCCCTAGTTTATTATTAATTCATTCATTCATTCATTCTTTCTTTCTTTCTTTCTTTCTTTCTTTCTTTCTTTCTTTCTTTCACTTACGCTATCTCTGATATTCCTTTTTCTTCTTTCTCTCTCTTCTTTCTTTCTTGAGTTTGTTATTAATTCATTCATTCTTTTTTCATTTATCTTCCGCTGTCTAGGCTTTTCATTTTCCGTCTTTCTTTCCTTTTTCTTTTTTTCACGGCTCACTTCTCCTTTCATTCTTTCTTTCGTACTTTCTTTCTCAATGCACTTCTCTCTCTTTTTTTTCTTTATTTTCTTTTTTTTTTCACAGTGTCTTCATTCATTATCGCTGGTTCCCTATTTTCCTTCCTTTCTTTCCTTCTTTTCTTTCTTTGGTTTATTATTAAATAATTCTTTCACTGATTCTGGTTCTTTCTTTCTTTCTCTCTTTCTGTCGTTTTTTTTTATTTGGTTCACGAGTTTGTTGCTAATTGATTCATTCTTTTCTTTGCCTCGGCTTTTCCTTTCTTTCTTTCTTTCTTTCTTTCTTTGCTTTCTTTCTTTTTCTCAGTGCATTTCTCCCCTATCTTGTTCTTTCTTTTTTTCGCTGATTCTCTATTTTATTCTTTCTTTTTTCTTTCAAAGATCACGTGTTCTTTCTTTCTTTCTTTTTCTTTCTTTCTTTCTTTCTTTCTTCATTCCTTACTTAGGTGTTTCTTCCTTCCTTTCCCAATGCACTTATTCTCTATCTCTGGTTCCTTATTCTTTCTTTTCTCCCCAATGCATATTTTTATTATAGTGTCCTATTCTTTTTATTCTTTCTTTACCCAATCCTATACGCAAATAATTGGATATGTGTCAACGGAAGATTGTATTTCACCTATTTTCCAAACATGCAGGATCAGCCTGCCATGAAACTCAGCATTGAAATTTTGGCATTTCACTTGGGCTTGATCCCCGACCGCTGGTGTCAGCATGAAATACTCTGACACTAGATACTCAACACAAGAAATATGTGTGTCAAAATGCATTCATATAGAGAAACCCTGGGTTGAGTCAGTGGTATAGGTCGATGTAAATTTCTTACATGTATGCTGATGTCTTGATTTCATATGTCGATAAGAACGTGATTCGATGTTGAGTTTTTTTTTTTTACTGTGTTATTTTGTATCGAAACGATAAATGGTCGAGGCATTTTACTTGCGTCAGCAGCTTCGCATATATATATATATATATATATATATATATATATATATATATATATATATATATATATATATATATATATATATATATATATATATATATATATATATATATAAACACGCATGCACTTATGAACAGTTAGTTTTATCCACAAATATATCATGATATTAACTTGAGGAGAGGCTCCCAGTAATCGAGTATTCTGTTGTATGGAGCTGCTATGTTGAACATTCAAAAGGGCGGACGTTTCCAAAGACATTCTCGGACATAATAATTTGACCAAACCCAGAGTGCACCGTTACTCTGTTCGGAAGAAGTGGCCACATATACGTAGATAATTTCGTCGATTTTTTTTCTTTACGAACACTCTGGAAGTAAATAGGATGTGCAGGCAGTGTAGCGGTTATCGGCGTGGAAAGTTGTCTCGGTAAGCCGAGCCCATTTTTCCAATCAATGTAAACTGATAAGTTCTCTTTTACCCTCCCCATCAGCTATGGGTTAAATAGCAGGTGTGACTGGATTATCTGTCCTTGACTAGTAACAAGCCTAAAAGAATGAAAACTCTGAATTCCAGACATCGTTTTCGTTATATTCACTAACGCACAACTATCCATGGGAAAGGAACCCGTTTTTTCTTCTCCCATCTCTGGGTAAATAGCAGGACGGACCCTATAGACGAGCCGAGAAGAAGAAAACCTCTGAATTCGAATCAGCCTGGGGAGGGTTAAACTCCATTAGGCTGTATTGTCAACGACACACCACTGCGGTTATAGCTGCTGTACATGTGTTGCCCCTAAAACCTTAATAGGTGACAGAACTCATGATCGTGATCCTGATATATATATATATATATATATATATATATATATATATATATATATATATATACACGAATTATTCACACAAAAACTAATGCAAAGGTTAATGATTTAAATGGCGAGGCATCCATCATCGCAAACAATTCAAATAATATACAAAAACCTCCGAATCCGTTATGAATGAAATGACCCTTGTTTATATAAATTTCTGCCGTATTAGTTCTTATTTTTACTACAAGCTTTCGTCTGTTCCTACAGACATCTTCAGGTATAGAATAGATGTTGTTCTTGTTTTTTCTCTTAGTAATAAGAGGACAACGAAAATATATATATATATATATATATATATATATATATATATGGCCTTCTCAGACGAGCCGCTTAGGTGAAACCTTGGTAGGTTTGTCTGTCTCTCTAGGTTTAATTAGGTCTGTTCTACTGACTGTATCGAGCCCTTTATTTAGTTATTTTGCTTACTCGTATCGGACTTTGGACTTGAATGCTGGACGATTATTTTCGGCTAACGTACATGTTCTTGGTTCTTTCTTTTTTATATACCTTTTTTTCCCCCTTTGGTATTTGGTTTGATTATTCACAAATCAAGACACTGAAGGTTTTCCGAACGAGTATAATTTTTTATACTTATAAGATTACTACTGCTACTACTAATATATATATATATATATATATATATATATATATATATATATATATATATAGTAACCCTGATATAAGAGAGTTGTCGGGACCGGAGAAAGGTCTCTTATATCCGGGTTTCTTATATCCGGGTTTGATCTATTTTATATACATTAACACAGGCTCTAATTTGAGACCAGAGAAAATCTCTCTTATATCCGGGTTTCTTTTATATCCGGGTTTATATCTGTATATATATATATATATATATATATATATATATATATATATATATAGCGCACAATCGACTGGGAATCCCGTAACCCATCAGAGTCATAGAGCAGCACATGTACTCAACCGCAGTAGAAGTTATGTTTCTTGGACAAGATAGTCTGACGGGCCCGTCCCTCTCCAGGCCAGTTTTTGAATTCAGACTTTCCTTCTAGACCGATTGCCACATATTGCTATAGAACCCCGTCTGTCCTGCTATTTTACCCATAGCTGTGAGGGAAGAAGTGGATTCATACCTTTTCCAAGGGTATTTATTAGCACGTAAGTGAATATAATGGACTGAATTTGAACTCTCTCTCTCTCTCTCTCTCTCTATATATATATATATATATATATATATATATATATATATATATATACTAAATTTACTAAGTTATTTTTAGAACTAGTCTGCAGCCACCGGTCTACCGTAGCTGCTTTTCATCAAGCTAACTTTGGTATAAGGCTACATGTATGTGTCACCCAATGTGTATCGCGCTCACTTCTTAGTAGTAATGGTCAACCAAACTCGTTGGCTAAGCATTTCCCCGACGCCAAAAGGTGCCCTGCTCTCTACACGTGTTACCCAGTTTGATAGCTTCAGACTACGTGCGGGTGAACATTAGTCAGCAGATCAATTTACCTGTGCAATAAGTTCGATAATCACTGGGTGTCCATCAACTCTGGCATGTAACCAAACCGATTTAAGTTTCCTTTCTAAGTTTTTCTAACGTAGGGTGATGTTCAGCAAGCCAGTACTACGAGATTATTCTCTCCTGCAATGGTATATATATATATATATATATATATATATATATATATATATATATATATATATATATATATATATATATATATGTGTGTGAGAGAGAGAAAGAGACACAGAGAGAGTGGATTGAATTTACAGATTCGGTGTCTCCACCAGACTTAGTTAAACTTAGTAAATTGATATTCTCTTTATAACCCATTAATACCTACCGTAAAATCCAGTATTATAAAAATTAATATAAATCCAGTATTAATTTAAAAGAAAAATCCGCTATTAATTATAAGTTTCTAAACATCCGGTATTTACCGTACTTTTCTGGCTAACAGCCACATCATGTTGAAACATCGGTTTCCGAAGTTAAGCAACGCCGAGCCTGGTCAGTACCAAGATGGGTGAACGATTGCAAATACCAGGTGCTGTAAGCCTGGACGTGCGGCTAGTGTAAGGAATAATGGCTCGGAATTGTTAATCGGAGAGCCGAGTTCCAATTCCAGTTGGTTTCGTTATAATCATTTACGTGATAATATGAAAGATATGAATACGCCTCTTCTCCCCTCCAGCTATGGGTTAATTAGTAAAATTTGTATCACTAAAACCATTACTAACCCCAACCCAACCACCCACCACACCAAAATCACGTACAAAATATTTATATTTCGGTATTAAATGACATATAGATGCTGATAGGCCGCGAAACAAAAACGACCGACATCTATCAGTTATGTGCCAATACACGCTTAAGCGATCATGTATCTTTCACTACATGACTGACGAGGCAGATTTTCTTTCCCGCAGTAGGTTGCCATTTCTTTCTGCGGTAGACCAGTTGCCATCCAAGGCTATAGAAACCGGTCTGTTCTGTTATTTTACCCATAGCTGGGGAAGAAGAAGAGGATTCATACCTTTCCCAAGAGTATTAGCACGTGAGTGAGTGTTTGGGATTTGGCTGGAATTCGAACTCGGTTCTCTGATTCCTCAATCCGAGAGTTTTCCAAAAAGAAGCCCGGTAAGATACCCCCCCCAAAAAAAAACAGTAATTATCGGTTTAAAATTAATGGCGACCACCCCCAATGTGTTGATAAATGTTTTTTTTTTGTTTTTTGTTTTTTTGAGTTACAGAATTCATTTCTCTTCTCGACTGTTTCTTACTAGTGTACTGTGTTCGACTCTCGCCTGTCGAGCAGAAATGGCTAACAATTTGTTGGGGCGCATTTTTTTTACATGAAAATTAGCGACAGCGTTGAGAAATTTTGTAAGAACGAGGCATTTATTACACATAAACAAAATAAATTCAATTTTGAAAATAAAACTGTACGCAGCTTTCTGAACCACTTTTTGCTTTATGCACCGTGTCCCCTCAGGACGTAGACGATCATAGCCCTCCACAACTTCCTGTCCCTCATAGCTC